TTTACATTTTAAACTGATAAATGATAGATAGATAATTTTTTTATGGTTTGTACACTCATTCCACGCCAATGGCGGATAATATCACCATCCAGGAATTTTAAAACCCTTTTATTTCTACTATGGGTGAAATTTTAGATGAGATATAAAACCTACATTGGAATATAAATTCTTAGCCATAGTAGTTATTAGTTTGGTAATTCGTGTCATTTTTTTATGTTTTGAAAAATAACTCTTGATATTTCTTTTTTTTATTGAGAAAAAGAAAAAAAAAGTTTCCGCCTCCTCCCAGCCTCCCATTTCCCTCCCCCTCCTCCGACTCCTTTCCCCCTCCCTCTCCAGTCCAAAGAGCAGTCAGGGTTCCCTGCCCTGTGGAAAGTCCAAGGTCCTCCCCCCTCCGTCCATGTCTAGGAAGGTGAAACGCCTACATTGCGATAGAACTGATTTTGGGAGAACAAATGAGATGGAGGATTCCTTGGCGGATCTGCTTGGTCTTCACGCTATAGATGATGGGGTTAAGCACTGGTGGCACCATTAAGTAGATATGAGCCATGAAGATGTGAATGAGAGGAGAAGAATGCTTGGCAAAACGATGGACGATGGATAACCCTATCATGGGCACATACAGAATGAGCACAGCACAGATGTGGGATGCACATGTATTGAGAGCCTTCAGCCTACCCTCACGAGATGCAATTTTTAACACTGAGAGAAGGATAAAAATATATGATACAAAAATGCCCAAGGAGTCCATGCCCCACAGCAAAGTAATGAGGACTAGCCCATATATGACATTGAATCTGATGTCAGCACAGGCGAGGCGGATCATGTCCTGGTGCAGACAATAGGAATGAGAAAGAACATGGGAGCGGCAGAAGGGAAAGAAAGCTAGGCGTGCCATAAGTGGAATTATCAAGATGGAACTCCTGAGCAGAGCTGCAATCCCAATCTTGGCAATAAGCTTTGGGGTAAGAATGGTTGCATATCGCAGAGGGTGGCAGATGGCCACATACCGGTCAAGGGCCATGGCCAGGAGCACAGATGATTCAGTGAAGGAAAAGGTATG